ATCCGAAAAAAAGGCTTCAATATTTCACTTCAATAATTCTTTCGTTCCTTAAATGAACATTTATTTTTCGGAGTGTATTATACCTGTCGCCCAGTTGTCTGCCTTGTTGCCGTGTCACCTACTGACCTACAACTGAATGCACAATTCTTTTGGCTTCTGGCCGTATGATCTGTGCCGCCTTTGTTGTCGCATTGTTGCGGCATCCTTTTGCCAGGCTTTGGCTTGCCATTGTCCTGCCGCCGCAAAACTTGTAGCTAATCACTGCTGAGCCATCAGAAGACACAAACACACAGACATCCAGCAAATCCTTTGATTGAATGGCCAACAATAACAGCAAGAACAACTACAACAACTAGAGCCACCTGAAGCTGCAGGTTTGTGGCGCGGATCCACTTGGATTCGAGTCCCTGCTCCGCAGCGGAGTAGATAACAAATTGCAATTGACAAAGCAACCAGAGTCGAGTCAATCGGGAACAAGATGCGATCGAATTTGCAAGCAACATACGAGTCGTTGCCATACAAATCGATGGCTGGCCATGATACAAGTCGCAGCATTTGTAATTGCCGGCATGGAGAGGAGGAGATCAGATGAGGCATTTCGGCATCGGGATGGGGATCGGGCCAAAGTCGGGGCAATCAGTGAGCGGCGGCGCATGTCACACAATAACAAAAAAAAAACAAACAAATACGAATACAAAAAGCTCATGCAAAACAAACATTAGGAAATGCAATACGAATACGAGTCACAGCCACAGCAGCCACTTAGGCAGTCACTCAGAGGCAGGCCATGCCAGGCCAGGCCAGGCCGGGCTGGAGCTGGAGCTGGAGCTGGGAGTCGTGGTTGTCGTCGTTTAGGACGTCTGAGATTACGACGATTACGTTTTACTCCAAATTTGTATGCTGCCAGAGTTGTAATTGAAAAAGCATCAACATTAATCTTGGTAACTCTCGCGCAAGTCAGCGCCGCGATTCGCATTCGCATTCGCGTTCGCGTTCGATTTCGATTTGGATTCAGATTTCGTAACCCCCAACGATGGAGATCAGCAGATAAGCCAAACCAGTGAAGCGGGTGTCCCATGTGGGGGCTGCTGCTGCCGATGCTGGTGCTGGTGCTGGCAAATGCCAAATGCGGTCATGTTAAGGCCAAAAACATATTGCTTAATCGCTGCGCGGATGTGGAGCAGCAGATATGATCTGGCCCGCTCGACAAGTGAGAGATGACGATCGTCAACGATCGCATCGCATAAATCAAATGCCTGTGGAGAAATTGCAGCTGACAGAGCAGCCACGATGCCTGACGGCTCCATGTCGTGGACAACTGTCCCGATATTGCAGCTCATCAGACTCCGGGCATGTAAGCTTTATGGCTTTGGCATATGCAAAATGTGAACGATCGTGGCCAGCATGCGACACCCATGGCCCGCACCGCACCGCACCGTCTACATAAAGTACTAGTCGCTGCCAACCTGTCAGTTGATCTTAGCTAGTGCCAGTCAGTCAGCCTGGCAGTGTGAGCGACCTTAACTGTAAACCCATCCACAGACCGCATTAGGTTCTAGGCCCAGCTCGATCAAGTTCTGCGCCTCGAGTTACATGACCCAACAACAAGCGTGGCGTTAGTTGTCGCTAAGTGCAAGTCGTTGAGTCAGTCGCAGACTCGTCACAGTCCTGGCCCATCAACTTGTTGCCAGCGTTATTCTAGAGATGAGGGCTCGCAGTACAAAGCTTTGTACAATTTTGAAAAGCACAGTAAGTATTTATATTCTGCCCTATATTATAATTATTATTAATATATAATATATATATTATTATTGGTATTATCAATCAAGTAAGGATTTGCTTAATTATTTGGACGCTAGGGTATCAGAACAATGAGGATTCGGACTTAAATCCCAAGCTAGTGTTAGGTTTCATGCCAACTGCTAGAAACAGTCATTAAAAAAAGTAATTGAAAAATAACAATATTTATATTACTAATAATTATAATAATAATAAATACAAATTTTTTGGAATGTTTTTTTTTCATATTCTGTTTGTACGATTTTAAATATCAAAAAATATGAGACGAATTTAAAAATTTAAAACCTCTGTCCTATTGTTTTAACCTAACCAATCTTCTATGACAATGTACGAAGTTCTACTCTAGGAAGATTGGATAATCTATATCAAGAACTTTTTATATATGTAAAAAAAAACTCTGTCTGAAGAAATCAATCAATATCAACATATCACACAGTTCTCGTCAAGAGAATATAAATATTATTATCAGGGAATTATAATAAGCTTTAAGGAATTTGGAGCACATTTATAAAAGAGCTTGGCCAAGGCAGGCACCTTTGCTCATCTCTAGTATTCTCTCCGCGTTCCTTTTTCTCTCCTTCCCTCTCTCTCTATCTCACACTCTTTCTCTCTCCTAGCTGGTCTGGTAAGGCTATGCATCGTGCCTTTTGCCTTTGCTGTAGATCGCGAAGCGTTGATAAATGTTGTTACTTGTCGTTGCAAGTTGTTGTTGCTGTCGTTGCTCGTTGTTGTTGTTTTCAGTTGTTGTTATTGTTGCTGCTAGTCACAGTCGCTGCAAACGTCGTCCGATCGATGGGTGGTTATAGTTGACATGTCGTTTTGTGTTTCCTATGCTCATCATCGTCAGGGACGCGCCGGCGACATGATCAATGAGCCAAAGACAACAGCAACCGCAGCAGAGGCTGCGGCCGAGGCAGCTTCAGAGGCGATCGTGGCCTGACTTTGCCACGCTGATTGCCCTTGACAAGCTGGTATTTCTTCAACGGTTAATTGTGGCTATGATTTTTGTCAGCGGCATCTATGGCATCTATTTAATTAGTCGTAGTCGCTCTATGCTGCCCACCCCAAGCAGCAATTACTTCCTGCTTTGAGGGGCGTAGGCATCTTCTGCTCGATTTGAATTTCATAAAACTCAAAAAACAAATAAATATTGCATAAACTATAGTCAAAGGGGTAAAAAGTAGCACCCGCTGTCAGTCCCAGCCCAGACCCAGCATATCCGAATAGTTAATTTGCAGGCAAATCGATTCGATTGCTGCTCCGCGATTGCATCTACTTGACACACATCGCACGCAAATCGATGCGGTAGCATTTACAAAATATCGCATCGCATATGGAGTGCTCGCTTACAAGCCGATAAAGATGCGATCCGAAGCAGTCATCCAAAAATAACTAGCAATCATGATGAGCGCCAGTCCGGATCGACGTGACTCCATAGGCACACAGAAAGCCTACGCCCAAAAAAAAGAAAGAGATAAATGATTTATGTATGTGACTTTCTTCATGCAATTGAAAACTGGCCTACCTTTCGGTAACTCTGGTTCTGGTCTCAGGGAGTAGAATGAGGAAGGGATCTATGTCATAAACTTTGATGACTCTTCTGGGGGAAAATATGACTCGATTCAAGCTGTTGTTCCCAATTGGATCAACAAATTCGACTATTGACAATTTTGTGCAAGTGTTTTGCAATTTGTTTTCAATTTCTGTGAATTTTCACTTTAATCAAACCAAAGAAAGTGCATAGAACGGTAGTTCATACCATGCAATCCAATAAATTGCTATGAAAATATATGCTAAAAACTGTTGCAAGACATTCACGTGTTAAAGCCCCAACACACATGTGAAAGCAGAAAGCAAGCACAAGATCTAGACAAATGTTTTGCTATTCAAAATAAATCTTGACTCATGATCGATGAAGTCCAACGGGATGACGCGCATAGTTTGAGCTGAGACTATTGAAATATGCATGAGCTGCCAGCATGGGCTAGTCCGAAGAAAGACTTTCTTCCGTTTCCGCTACAACAATTTGCACGCGCTCCCTCCTCCAGCTCTATATTCATCTCTCTATCTATCACCAAAATGCATTTTATGAGCCACACACGCACACACACACAACCATGTACAGAAGTGTGTGCCACACATCGTAAACTAACAGTTTGTAAATTGTTCCATGTCCATCGGTATAATTAACTTTATCTGCTAGACGCACAACTGTTAGTCCGGCTGTTGGCCCATTGGCCCCTACCTGTTCTGATTTCGGCGCTGAAAGTGAAACCGTAAATTCCAGTCAGTCGCAGACCCCGAGCATCGCCTTTGGCCATCAAATCAAACATCAGGTGTCGGCATCTTCAGTTCGGGAAATGTTTCATTCAGGCCGGGCTTAGATCGGGGTTCCTTGTGCGCGCCCGGCTGTCGGCGGCCTCATCAAATTTTGGTCAGCTCGTAATTAATTTCATTGCAGCCAAAATAGATACATCTTCTTTGCCGGGCAGCAACACGCTGTGCGCCATATGGCGCTAGTTTAAAGCCTGCCTTCAGGTCCTGCCCCACGCCTACCAAACAACGCACAGCTCGCAGATAAGGCTTACTCTACGTCTCTCTCTCTCTCCCATTCTCTCTGTTGCTCACACGCGAGCTCACGACCCGCTTAGTTAGTTGCAATTAACACGCCACGCTTCGGGCCTGTGCCGTTCATGCGCCAAGTCCATATTGGAGTGGGAGTATTACGAGTAACGAGTGGCCGGCCCATTGGCCGAGCATTTGGTCATAGCTCACTTTTCATCAATTTTGAAACAAACAACAGTTGGCCAAATGCCGTAGCCCGTAGTTTTCCCTAATGAATTCATTCGCTTCACTTTTCGGTTGTAAACTGGGGTTCATTATCCTCGCGATACACATTTGGATGTGGGCAGTTGTTAGCCCCTGTCCGTTCTCTGGAAATGTTAAAAGGATTGTACATTCTTCAGAATTTATTGGGTGTGTCCGACATATATTAGTGGCGATTCGGCTTTGCATGCTCTTCCACATTTTGCGGCTCTTGCTGTATATTTTGGTACATTTTGATGGTGTTTTGATAAGCGGTCCTATGTTTTTGGGCTCTGCCCTCCGCATTAAATTAAATTAAAGGGTTCGAGCCGAGAAAGACCAAAAAGCAATGTAAAGAACTATTTTAAATTTCTGCCATTATGGTAGCTTAATTATATAATACACAATTTAAAACAAAAAAAAAATCATTTAAAAACTGAAAAGATATTTATCTATGCCAAACCTATGATCTCCTATTTAATCCGTATAAGCTTTGGCGATCCTGTTGTTGAGACGGTTCAAATAACTATACTTCAACAGGAGTCCTTCTTGAACGTAGTGTTTCAAATCGCAGGGGCGGCGGGTAGACGTAGCACCTTGCACGCCATCGTCCTGATAATTTGTGAGCTTCTTTTGTTGTATATATACCGTTGGCTGCTGTGCTCTGTATATGATATGCATCTCTATGAATAAAACTGTTTGTCCTGACTGATTGGTGATCAACGCACATCCCAACCGTAAGAGCTGGGAAGCTGAAATTTTCATTGTAGTTGCCCTATATTATGAAGGTTCACGTTTAGACGGGGTTTCGGGAAATTCCATGGACAAATCACGAATAACTTTGTATGAAACTATTTGTTTCTCAAACTTACTTTCAAAGATCGTTTTTAAAATTTATTTGAGAGGTATTTTACGCTTCTCGAAAAACCCATCCATCTTTGGTGGAAATGAGGGTCAAAGATTTGGTGGTTGACGTTTCCTGTTTAAATTCATTTCCAAAGATCTATGTGAAAAATAATTTGAAACGTGTTTCACACTTTTCGCAAAATCCAAACTTCCTCGAATAAAATGCGACACAAAAATTTTTGGGCAAAGTTTTAAGTTTGCATCTATGTATGCCTGTACCTACATACGTAAGTACATACATACATATGTACATACATGTATACATACTTATGTACATAAATACATAAATACATATGTACATACATACATACATACATACATATGTACATACATACATACATACATACCTATGTACACACATACATATATACATATGTACATACATACATACATACATATGTACATACATATGTACATACATACATACATACATATGTACATACATATGTACATATATACATATATATCTACAAACGTACACACATACATATGTATGTACATACACACATACATACTAATGTACATATATACATATATATGTACATACAAACATATATACATTCATACATATATACATACATATGTAAATTCATACATATATACATATGTACATACATACATATGTATATATGTACATGCATACAAATGTACATACATACATATGTACATGCATACAAATGTACATACATACATATGTACATATTTGCATACATATGTACATAGATACATACATACGTACATACAAACTTTCAAAAAAAACAAAAAGAAAAAGAAAAACAAATAAAATAAATACAATAAAAACGCACTACACTACTAGCTAAGCATGAAAAACTGCAGAGCCTACTTGAATTCTTGAGAATCGAGGAGTAGGGCACTTGGTAGAAATTCGTTTTATTTAAATTTGCAGCACAGCGACAAATAAGCTTATTTACGTTCGGTATTAGAAAACAAAAACGAATGCATACACATATATATACATAAATGCATACATACATGCATGCATACACTTACACACACATAATACTTTTACAGCTAGTATTATGAACAATAATATAATATTTATTTTTAATATATTATAATGCATATGTTATAAATATATTTCTGTGTTTAAATTGTTTATGCAGCTATGATGACGATTTTCGAGCAGAATCAAAATAATTACAGCACAAATCTTAGATAAAGAGCCGGCCAATCCAAAAATATTATAAAACTTAAAAACAAATCGGCGACTCTCAACAATTATTTCAGATGTTCCTTTTGACTGATTGTCTCACTGGCTGACTGACTTGGAATCCATCATTTTTAACAGATATACATATATAAATTTACTAGAAATAAAATATGAACTTTAAGTTTTAAGTTAACGTATAGATACGATATGAGGCCAATAAATTTGCATGCGAACTTTGTTGTGTCCGTTTTGTCTAATTATGATTTGTGTTGTCTAAGATTTCCATATCAAAGGTGAAGGCAATTAATTATCAAACGCTTGTTTGAAAACTAAAAAAATTTACATTTCTGCAAATGGAAACAAACGCAAATTAACACCTTAAATGCGGCTGTAACCTGTGCAGCAGCGGCAGCAGCAAAGCGGAACTGGCAATCGAATCGAGGCATATATCGAGCTATATCGCAGCTATATATCCAATTGCACCCACATGCCACTGCAGCACGCCACAAAAGCTGGCGCCAGATTCCGGGGCGAGTTGTTGTTGCATTCGACAGACTTTTCAATTAAAATTCAAATTGATGCAAACAAGTGGCCAAGCCCCATTCCAGTCCTCAATACCCAGTCAAAGTTGTTGTTGCTGTTGCTGTTGCAGTTGCAGTAACAGGCCAAGTCCACCAGCTCGACAAGTCCAGGTTCAGGCCCCGCATTAACAAATTGAAATTTGCTCGCGCCGCTTTGACAATGCAAACGCCCCCGAGCCAAAGCTCACAGCTGAATTGCCTGATTTCTTTATTTCAATAATTTTGCATAGATTGCCCCTAGAGCCATATGCATTATGCGAATAAGTCTTGGTAAAAACCAAACGAACTAAGAACCGTCAAACTGTCATTTGATGGCGTCGCCAACGACGCCCGATATAATCGCCAATTATTGGAGTTGCCTTTTGGCAACTTTAGTCGGGTGTCTGCTCAATATATAGTTCAAAGTCAAAGCTCCCATATCTCTAAAGTTGATCTGCTGTTATTTTTGATTAATTGCCCAGTGAGTGTGATACAGCCCGAAGGTAAATGGGAGGGCCTTAAAGTAGGCCGGCTCTACATAAAGTTGATTACAAATATTTCAGGGTTTGGAGTAAACCCATATTTGCTTAGTTTTTTAATACCTTTACCACAATAGGCTTGTTATATTAAAAATATAAATCAGACAATACATAAAAAAATACTATGAAAATTTCAACGGATGTCAAGGAGGATAGGTACTGGTAGGTAGGATGGGGCACTGGATTATATTTTTGGCTAATTTAGGATCAGACTTAAACATACTCTTTTCGGAGATCTTTGGTCCTAATACCGTTTATAGCAGCCTGTGTAAAGATTGATTGGGATACTCGCAGAGTACAATTTGGGATCGAGATTCGAGAGTGGAAGCTTGAGAGGATTCAATGAGTAATATAAAGTAAGTGACTTTAAATACCGAGAGATTCATTATTCTTAAGTATCAATAAACGAAATTACCCGGCATTGCTGGGATCAAATGTTACAGGTAGATGCAATAACCACCACTCGTATATTCGCCGATGATAATCGCATTTAATTATACATATACATACCTAATTTAATTTTACAATTAGCAAGTTTTGGTGCAATGTCAAGATATGATCTTTCAGGAGAATTGAGCAATATCTCTAAAACCCAATCTAACGCCTTTTAGATCAGCTCCCGTTCTTCTTATCACTCGCATTTTGAAAGTTCTGTCACTTCTGCTTAGTTATTGTCGACGGTTCCACACGCAGTTACCTAATGTCACACATTTTTCCATGTCACACATTTTTTGCTTCCCCTTGCTGCGGCATACAATGACGTTTCCTAGTTTTGCGGTCGGTCAAAAGTCTTCCTGGAGTAGAGTTACGGCAAGTGCAGAGGCCCCAACTCTCACTCAGTGTGCAGCAGCAGCAGCAGCAACAACAAGAACAGCAACAACAACATGCAGCTCTTAACTGGCAAGCATAATGCAACATGACATGCGCCGCATGTGCAACACAACAGCCGAGCAAATGTTGCAAATATGAGTTCATTATTTAAACGTTGACCAAAAACAAATTGACAAGTAAATGCGGCACATGGCTGAGTTTTGGTGCCCAGCTGAAGCCGAACTCCACGTTCCCGTTGGCGTGGAGTGCAGTCTCTGGGCATATGGTGGTTCCTAGGTGGGTTCGCATTTCTGCTCCAATAGATGCCGCTGATATTGTGCGCATGCGACGCTCTTGTTATTGTTGTTGCTGCACACACACGCACACACACACACTCGGGCGTCATCAACGCGCACACATTTTGCTCTTAAACGGACGACGCGTTGGCCGCTCCGCGTGCCACTTCAAAGGCCTGAAAACCGACAGAGCGCCAGGCACCACGCACCACGCCGCACCACAAGCTGGCTGGCTGGCTGGCTGGCTGGTTGGTTGGTTGGTTGGTTGGTTGGCGGGCAGGCGCCTTCTTTGGTGGCTTGATCTTTGGCCGGGCCAGGCCGTTGCCCAGTTGGCCGGCTGGGCTGCTTGGACGCACTTCCCACTTGTTTGCTCGCTCATTCGTTTTGCAGTTATGAGATGGCAACAACAACAACAACAACCACTTGAACCACAACAACAACAGCAACAACGTTTGTCGACGCGCAACGTCATAGGCTCAACTTGTTAACGCTTTGGCCTACAGTGTAAACTTGCGCCTCATCCTCTAGAAGCCCAACCTGTGGCCTGCCCCAATGGTCTGTTGTTGCTGTTCCTGTTGTTGTCGTTGTTAATGATGCCTTATAATGCCAGCGCGCCTGATTTGCCACAATTTATTATGAAAATCGTAATAATCTCAGAGATTTCTGAACCCACAAGACGCATTTGTCTTTGACGTCGGCGTCGCCGCTTATCTTTCGGGCCTGTTGCCTGGTCTAGTGGCGTCCTAGCCTGGACCCATCCGTCAGCGTCGGCGCGTCGATAGCTGGTTAATGTTTTTGCCGGCCATTCCCGCTTTGGTAACACGATACGCAGTGCTAGCCCCGCCCTTCCATTCACCCACCGACCAAGCAACTCGCAGCTTGGCTGGAGCTCTCGCTGCGCGTGTCATATTGGCATTTCCTCTTCTGGCGGGCAACGCCTACGCGGCGGTTCGGTTAGAGGTCCAGGGGACGAGGCTCGTCTTAAATCGTTTTCGAATTGATTTTTGCCGTCAAATTTGCACAGCCAGAGCTGAGCAGCATCCTCAGGTTCGCCATTCGCCATTTGGCATTGTGGATGTGGATCATTTCATGTTGCGCTTGTTGTCGTCGCAAAATGTTACTAATAGTTGGAAATTACAAGCCAATATCGTTTGTTTGCGGTACTCATTGACTACGAGCACGAGTTCGAGTAGGTGGGTTCCATAAGTCGCATTGATAAATGATAGACAGACTCCAGCTTTCTTCTGCCCATATATATGCATCATATATAAGATTTTATTTGACAGAATGCAAGCACAATATTACTTAAATAAAACCTTTGACAGGTTTTAAAGCAAATGAAAGCTTGCTGAGGCATTTATTGAATTTACTCAACGCACATGAGAAATGATTAAAGACATAGACATTAAATGTCAAAATTTGAAGGCAATCAATTTCAATTTTTAATGCCCATTCGTAGAGACTTCTGGGAAACTCATTTCAATATTTATAATATAGACCAATAGAGCAACCCAGCTTAAAATTTTATAGTCTAATATAATAATATTTATATATCTAGCTATATGATGTAGTGCTCCGATGGGAACTCTTGCGCTTGATTATGATATCATGGGAAATAAAAAAATTGCTTATATACGAATTGATAGCCTTGTTGCAGCTATCATAGTGAAGAATATGTCAACAAATTAGTTAGATATTTTGACAAAAGTCAGCAATTACACGCTAAACTTTTTTCCTTACAATTATGCAGAACTGTATCAAGTCAGAAAGGCTTCCATAAAATATTAGGGCATTTGCAAGTCAAATGTATACAGGTCATTTTATCTCTGACGAGTGGAAGTTAATTGATATTTTCTGTTTACTTTGTGAATAGACTACAACATTAAATACATATATTTCGAATTTCATCAATATAGTTTAAGCAGTGAGAAGCTTGAACAGAAGCCGAAATATAACATGATAATATTATCTTGATAAAATATTTAAATTTATAATTCTTTTGCGTTGCGATTTCTATGATAAGATTATAATAATTTCTATGATAATTATATAATAATTCCCTACAGGAATTATAATAATAAATTAAAGTATTTTATGAAAATATAAAAACTGGTAAAATTTAAGCAACAATCGGAACCAGCTTAACATCTTTATCTATATCTGCATATGTTTTCAGCTATTAAATTTCACATAAACAATACTCCCAATTCAAGTTAATCGATTTAAGACAAATTGAAATGCCAACGAAAACGATAAATAAAAGAGTTAAAATTCGCGCAATTGATAGATAACTGGAAAACTCAGTTAAAGCGCGCGTCGAAAATACCTGGCTGAATAATGTTTATCTCCCCAAATGCAACAAAGGTGTTTGCACATGTCCAAGCAAATAAAAAAAATATTGTTCGGTTGGAGTTGACCTGCCCCGCGGCCCGCTGACAACAGAGTTGTATACAGGATAATGCAAATAAATTCAGCGGGCAAAAACTTTGGACAAACAAATTGCCAGCCAGACAAGTCTGCACACATACACACTTACACACAATCACACACAGCACATGGAAAATCAAGATAAACGCTCTAATTGAGATTAAATTCATAATTACGATCGCACGGGCGACACTTTTATGGTGTTCTTTAATTAAAGTTTTTTTGTGCCGTACCGCTTGGTGCTTTTGGAACCACCAGGCCGAAGCTGGGGCTGGATCTGGTGTTGGCGTCGCTAAGCCAAGAAATTTGAAACGCGCTTAGACGGCAAACTGCAAACGGCAAGCAAGCGGCTGTGGTCCAGTCGACAGAGTCTTGCTTTTTGGGTTCTCTCTTGGAGAGCTGGCCGAGAAGGTGTTGAGTAATTTTCTGGAAAAGTGTACACTGCCCCCTTAGCCCCTTGAGTTACTTAAGTGCTGATTGAAATCGCAGACGCTGATCACATAAATTGCCAGATTTTCGGTGTACATGACAGAGACCCAGACTCAGACTCGACTGCAGCTATAGCCGCAGCCCCTTCCCGGTCCCCTTAAAATAACGCATAATTGCATTGTATGTTGTGTGTAATTGAAATTAATACGAGTGTATTACACCGAGCGAAATGACTTATTTCATATGGGTTAATTTGACGCCCGTGCATGTCCGATAATTAAGCAATTTAAGCGGCTTGCATATTGATTTATGATACCACAGCGATAACGACAGCGATAACTGGTAGCGTACAGTGGGCTTCCAACTGTTGAGATATGAACAAAAAGTTTGAAAAGTGCCAATTTTTTATACTTGGGTGTGTTTGGTTTTTTCTTTTGTGGCAGGAACGCGCATAGCTTAATAAATTAATCGTGCTGTAATATATCTCGTGTGTTCGCTAAAAGAATATTATTTTTACCCATATCTTTGAGCTTAGAAGATCGAGTTTGCCCAAATTCGGAATATACGCATGTGTTACGAATATTTCAAAACTTTCTTAAATTAATCAAAAGAAAACGCAATTAACAAATGTTGCCTTGCGTCTTCTATTTCATACAGTTCGCTTAAATTTTAAGTTCTGAAAGTCATAGATTTCCCACAGTGTAGAGCTAAGCGAAGATGATACGATTTAACAAAGTTCATCAGTTTTTTCATGAGGAATCGATCTTCGCGTAGTTATTTAAAATATTTGGGATGTTTATGTGTATTTTTCAAATCAAGATATTGTGAGATTCCTAAAATGTCAAAACGGCAACTAAAACATAATTAATAAAATAAACTATATTTTGTATTAAGAGTCTTAGAAAAATAATTCTCAGATTTACTTTATACTTTCTACTATATGAAATGAAAATAAAGGATTCAAAATTTCGGAAAGTCTGCAAATAATTAATGCCAACTTTATTATTGGGATCAAAATTGGCACATGGATTTACTGAAGCTTACACATTCAAGATCTTATGTTCAGGTAATTATCTGATAATTCCTCTCTGTTGTGTTTTTATTCACATTTTCAGCAAATAGTATACAGATCTTTTTTGACTAAATTATCAATTATTAGGGCTCGCGGGAATAACATCGATGCTTTTGGCAGCTATAGTTCCGATTCTCACATTACCATACCTATGTAAACTTATCATTTCAGCTGTGTGTCATCTATTCAAGCCTAGACCATCCGGATAAATCAAATGGATTCCCACACGCGAACGGACATAACTCCCACCTTCGTGATAGCCTCTCACACGCGCTGGACAAAACCCACCAGGCAGATGCCATCGCGGACGGCGCATTAATCGAATGCGTAAATTCGTCGAGATCGCTGATAAACCGGCTGCTGGGTAGCTCCAAAGGCGACCCAAGATGCTATCCAAAGCTCATTGAAACAATTAAATGGCGCGCGCGTTTGCGTCGCTTCTAATGATGATGGGTCCCTAGCCCCAGCCCCATCGCCAGGTCGAACTCAAGCTAAGACAACCCGGCTCTATAGATAAGGCATTAAAAAGCAATTATGACGACAAATCTGTAAACATACGGCAATCGTTTTAATGGCGGACTTAACGCAACATTTAGAAGGTAATAAAAACAAGGCGGGCGCCAGAGGCCCAGTCAATGTTGCATTAACATAAAAATGTCATAAGGTTTATGGGAGATGCGCTTAGCTAGATCGATCGGCCAGATATATAGCAGACAGCATTGTCAGCTGCCTCGGCGAGATCATTTTGCAATTGTAAGTGTGTGTGAGGGGGAGGCCCTCCAAGTGGCGAGGCCTGTGATAATTGCGTAGGTATTCGGGAAAAGCGACGCTAAGAAAATGTATCATAAATTATGAAATGTGATCGTTAATCTTTGACTCGGATCATGGTTCATTTATCTGTCGTGGCATATGAAATATTCAGCACTTAAAATATGTATTTGAAATATATCAAATGTGATTCATGATTTCAGTACTATTCGGATTTACTATCGAATAGTTATTTTAAAGAAAATGAAAAAACCATTTGATATTTCCCAAATATCGTACAGTAATTCCATCCATAAGAACGTACATAAGAAGTATACCACATATCATCTATGTCCTGCCAAGTACTTAACGTAAGTATCGATATAATAGACAAACTTTTGGAAGTAAATATAACATTCGGCTCGTGATTTGGTTTGCAATATTATACCAAAACTTTTGTAAACCTTATGTCAAAAGCTTAAGAGTTATGCTAAAATGTATGGAATAGAAAACTGAACATGATAAATATGATTCAGTTGAGCTGTTCTTTATCGAATTCATCCGGGTGAAGGTGCGTTGCACGGTAAATACAAATTGGGATTTCGGACTCAAACTGTTTGGGCTAAAGCTCGGTTTGCAAACTTAGTATGTACTCATGTCTTTTCATGCTTTTTAACTTGAATTTAAAGTAATTTTCACCTGATTCAATCAAAAACTATTTGAACTCAAACGAATGTTAATTTCACAGGCCACTCATTTTTTGAACCCATTACCTGACACCGGAAATCAGCGGCAACATAAATTATGTCTTTGGTTCGCGGAAATTAAGCTGCCAGACCCCTAGCCCACCCTCAGCCCAACAACTAATAAGACTTTACACACACGAAAACTGACCCAGAGACAAACCCAATGCGACCCGCCGCGACGCGATGATTCAAGGCGCTGGTTCTGGTCAGAACCAGAACGCCGAAGGTAGAGCCTACAAAAGTAGCTGCTTCTATAGGCGAGCGGGAAGAAGAAGATGAAGCGAATGAATAAGAAGAAGAATAAGACAAACAGTTCGCTCATTGAGCGTAACAAAGGTGCACCTTCAATGAAGCCTAACCAAATAAGGCAGGCCACGCAGACTTGTGGATGACGACGGCACACGTAAGGAATGCTGGCAGTTTTGGGGTGTGCTCTATACGACGAGCAGCGGGCAGCAGGCAGCAGGCAGCAGGCAGCAGGCAGCGGGCAGCGGGCAGCGGGCAGGCTGGGGCCAACGGGGCAGACAGGAGCACCCATTTTACCTGCAACGCGTTCTTTGGGTGACTAAACACTTGTTTCGCTTCAATAACGCACCGGCAAAGCTGTCCAAGTTCGCCGCTGCTGTCATCTTCTGCGTGGGGGATCGTGGGGAGCGGGGTTTACGATCATCGAAAACATATTTTAACAGCAAGTACGCAATACCGCATTCGAAACGCTGACAGTACAGCCCCAAATCCAAATAAACCCTTTATTCATCTTCTCATACCCTTGTATTATAAAGATTTTATGATTTTGACTTGAAATGTGTAACATATAGGAAACGTTCCCAAATCTGATTCACTATTCTTCGTAGATTTGCAAGATCTTATCAAAATTTTATCAGTAAAAAAAATAGTTTTTAGTTTTCCAAATTTTTAAAATATCTCGACCAAGCTTGTCGAATTCGAGCTTCACTTTTCTCCTAACTTACACTTTTAAGCCGTATGTCTACGAGGGTATTAAGTCTTCGGCGTGCCGAAAATAGTCGTTCTTTCCTGGCTTTTTTTAAGGCGCTGTCCGTTCAATTTGTTGACTTAAGGTGAGGATCGCCGATTTGGCTTTGGGTAGCATTTGAGGTTAAGCGGGCGGTGCGGGCTCTATAACGGGGCGGCGGCAATGAGGCATAACGGTGCTGGGTGCTCGTGTTTGTGCCCGTGCCAGCCCCGAGTCCCGGAAGCGTCTCCGTCGCCGTTGCCGTCGCCGTCATCGTCCGGTTCTTATGGGCTGGGTCTCGAAAAGAGCCCAAGACAAGTCGCAGGTTAGTCTCAATTGCGTATGCCTTTCATCATCATTATCATCGATATCACGTGTGTGTGTAATTTCTTGATTTGTTTTTGTTTTCGCGTTCGTTTCTCGTATATATAGTAAATATACATATACTTTATGCGTCGCGCTCTCGAAATTATGGGAAATTAAAAACATATATATATACATACATATGCATGTTTTATTTATGAGTAGCAGGCAGCAAGTCAAGTAAATCGCGTTCGTTGATTCTGAGGTGTGGTTTTTGGGTGCACAGCGTAACAGATATGGAAATTATAATTGTGCTTTATGTGCTTTTAATGCATCTATCAAATGGGGATTAGAGGGGAGCAGCTCGGGCAACTCGGGCGACTCGCAGCTTTATGATCCGCAACGTCTGAAAGTCAATCAAATGTAACACAGGTTGAGATAACTCGTAATTCTATGCCTATGTTTATATGCCCACTCAATCAAAATCAAAATCAAAAGCAAATGCAATTTCCAACCGCCCACCACAACCCACCCCACCCCACCCGCTGTTTATGAGTATGGCTTGTATGTGCAAAAACAACTTTCCAACATTAATGACAATTTGTATCGTAATTGAAATCGAAATGCCGTGAATAAATGCCGCTTTGCACTAAGCCACGAGACACGAAGAGAACAAGAGGGGACCACGGAGGGGTAGACGCACCGCACACACAACAAGGAACACCTTTTAAAACCAGAACCAGTTGAGGCAGTCGAAGCGACACAGGTGCCAAGGCAGGCCAACGGCTCGTGGAGTGGGCCTGGGCGAAAGCGCAGCCAGCAGCATTTCAGTCCGTGTGTAATCCATTTTAATGCCAACACCATTACGAACAGTAGCCTCAGTGTCACATTTAGCAAAAGCAACGCTACCAAAATATGCAAAACTGCCATCCGCTTCAATGGACACTCGCGACTGCAGCGCCCAAAAATTATACCGGCTAAAAGCTTTCACGTTCCTAATTAGTACTCAAAATACATGTAAGTAATAGGTACTCAAAAATGACTAGAAAGAAAGAACGTTATCTTTGGCTCTCAGAAGATATAATGCCATATTCGACCGATTGTACCTATATAAAACATATCTGATAATTGTCCGATGTGGATAATATTTTGTTAGGATAATAGTAAATCTCCTAACTGCTCCTCAGTTTGGTTAAGGAGCCTTAAAAGAAAGTTTTGTGTACGAGACCGATGTTGATAAGATTTAACATATTTGTCCAAAGTTAAATGAGACACTAGTAAAAATAGAGACACGTTTGGCCACTCCAACGTATATCGACTGATTAAGGTCAGAGGTGCATTCTATGAGTTTTGCATATCGTGACAGATTAATAAATACACTGCACATAGGTACAAACAGAGTTTATATTAATTACAAGCCTGTAGGCTTTAAAGTTTACAAGATCGACAAGCTCATACAATCGAACATGCCAACGGACAGACAGTCATGGATAGATTGAATCAGTAAGGATGATCAGAGATATATACACTTTATGCTGCCCAAGAAGCCTTATTCTATCTGTTGCACAGACTTCATTATCCTCTGAAATAGTATCTAGACAGCTCTTAAGACCCTAGACTGCAGATCTACATTTATTTTGCTTGAACCGTTGCCGAAAGCAAAGTATAAATGCTTCACTTTTGACCAACCCCAACATTAAACTTGCAAAATACATTTTGTGTCAAATACATTTTTCGTCAAAAACCTCTTACCTTATAATAATAATAATATTTTGTTTGGCTGAGTTAGAAGACATTTGAAATGGAAAATAATTGTGAAGCAAAACTTTTTTCTGGCTTCGCTTGGAAGACCAATTATACTTAGCATACTATAATTGGTATTCCTGGATCGAACTGGGCTGCTTAAAACCCCGTTCGCAGATTTGATTTTATAATATTAATCAAATTGAAATATATTTAATCTTACTTATTACGATTACATTCAAAATGCAGAAATCCACAGACGCAAGTCAACTGAGGACCCTCCTTTCGTGACTCGAAGGCGGGAGCCGGCGACCTTAATGCGGCGACAATTGATTAGCGAGCGACAGAGCAAGGCGCGTATGCGTTTAATGAGCCGAGAATTCGATGTGTCCAGGCCAAGATTGGCGTATCAGGCGCCAAGTGCAGGCAAACAGGTTACTCAGTTGAATCGGGAGAGAGGAAGAAGGGGCGAACTGCTGATGAACCATCGCTGTTCTGGCCAGCTTATTAATCACGCCGATTGTCCGATATTGCAGCGATATGTTTGGAGCACTGGAGCCTGCACTTTGCTGAGCCTCGATAGCAGGGCGCATAATTTATCAAATGCCTGGGACAGAGCCAGAGCCAGAGCCAAGCCAGAGCCTCGCCTGAACAGAACTGATTCAGTGCTTCGGCATGCCATAATGAACCTTAGCCTACTTACTAAGGCCGCTGGTTGTTTCCCACAATTATGCAAAGCAGGAGAAAAATTGTGGAAAAATGTGCACAGTGAGCGGTGCCCAAGAAACAAACATGCCTCGCAACTCGACTTTGGATAAGGTGCATCTCGACGGGCCAATTGCGCGGCCAAATTATAATGCATTACTTCATAACTCCCCGCCAGCAACTTGTTTGAACTGAGTCAAAAAGATTCCCTGGCCCACTGGGCAGTGGGCAGCAATCAAATCACTTGTTGCCCCAAAGCTAGCCACAAGATTGTTAGACAACAGCAACTGGCAACTGGCAACCAGCTACAATTGTTGCTGTGGCCTACATAGTCCTGACTTTACATAGCCCCTGCACACCGCTTAGACGTCTGATGTCCCCTCTGGTGCTCGTCTCTGTGGCAGTTAATTTGATTATGTTTGGCTGCA